CGCGGCCTCCTCATGGGGCGGTTCACGGCGGGGGTGGGTGCCTGCCCCGCCGTCCTGACGAGCCGACCCCCTGGCGCACCCGCCCTGTGTACAGGTAGAAGGGCTGACCCCGCTCATAGGCATCCAGCAGCTCATTGAGGTCCCTGCAGGCAGGACCAGGCGGTGCCAGGGGTGAGCGCAGGGCCGTGGAGGGCTGGGGGCTGGTGGGTGGGCCTCCGGCCCGGGGCGCGGCATTGCTTGCAGGCCAGCTGGGCCGCGCAGCAGGCGCCGGCCGCAGCCAGCCCCGGCCGCGGCGGCCCACCTGTGCGCGAAGAAGATGCCGCGCTTGAGGAAGGGGTGCGCGGGGCGCCCCGTCAGCCGCTCTATCCGCTCCACCAGCGACGCGTCTATCGACTGGCACCCAAACTGCAGGCGGGCGGGGGCAGCGCGGGCGGCCGCCGGCAGGCATGGGTGCACGCGGCGACGGCGGCGGCGGCAGCCTGGCGCCTCCCAACTCGCGCCCAGCGGCCTCTGCTCTGCTCGCCCCTGCCCCTGCATGCCCGCCGCTGCCCCTGCAGGTCGGGCCGCGATGCGGCGCTGCTGGCAGGCGACAGCGGGTCGGGCTGGTGGCAGGGCGAGGGCGAGGTGCCGCTGCCGTGGGGCCCCACCTGCGCCACGAGCTTGTTGTAGTCGATCTTGCCGTCGGCGCCGCCCGTCACGTCCCAGGGCGTGATCACCTGCGAAGGGCAGCCGGCAGCGGCCTGGTGAGCCCCACAGCAAGGATGCGAGCTGCGCAGGCGGCGGCGGCAGTGGTGCTTTGGCGGCATCGAGCGGCGTGCTTGCAAGGCGCGGCATGGCAGGCGGGATTTCAGATCGGACAGGGTTGCACTGGCAGTGCTGACAAGCCCCAAGCTCTGGACCCCTGGGGGGACATGCGCATCACCTGCTCGCCATCCTGCGGCTGCTGCTCCTGGCCCTCGGCCGGAGGCTGCTGCTCCCCGTTGGCCGCTTGCTGCTCCCCTGTCGACGTCATGCTGCACCAAGTCCAGCTAGCGGAAGCGATACGAGAGGGAGCCTCTGCGGTCCGTTGCCAATTCAGTCGATGGCTCGGCAGGACTGCATGCGATTGCCGTGAATGCAGGAACGCAATCATGGCGAGGAAAGGAGTTTTGCGACATGGCGGGCGCCGTCGCCGGTGCCCGCTCCTGCGCGCTGTCCATTGTCCACGAGTCATGTTTAAGTTGCTGGACCCTCATGAATAGAACTGCAGAAGCGCTAGAGTTCACGGCCTGCGCATACTCCTGCATGCGCTCTAGACAGACCGGCCTGCGCCACAGCGCCGGGCGGGAGGCGCCTGCCGCCGTGCTGGATGCAAGAGATCCCAGCGGTTCCTTCTCTGCTACACCTGATATGTCTGCAGGCTATACCTTGTCGCATTGGGGCTGACGCAGGTGTGCTGGAGCCCAACCAGCGCCAGTGCTGAAGGCCTATCCTGTGCCTGGCCGGCGACGTCTTGCTGCGTCCGACATGCCCAGGCAGGCGGCTGGGCGGGTGCCAGATGCGCTGGAGGGTTGAGTGTGAGGCGTATCAGAAGCAATGATGAAGTTTGAGACTGCCAGGCCTGCAGAAGGCAGCCCAGGAGGCCCGGCACCCAAAAGGCGGCCGGCTGAGCTGGCGAAGATGAGGCGTACAGATGACCCTCTTGAAACCGGCGCCCCGGCGCACCGCGTGCTGTTCGGTGCACTCGTCAAACCTCTGGCACCCACATCTGCAGCCGCCGCCGCAGTTGGCGCCTTCCCGCCTCGCCACCCCACTCCTTCGGCAGTTTTGGCGCTGCTTGGCACTTCTTCTCCTCGCTCAGCACCTTGTTCTGCTGCCAGCATTTCGTTGGCGGCCGGTCAGCGGCCCCGGGCCTCATCCTCGGCTGCCTGCGTTTTCGACCACAATGCAGCAGAGTGCTATGGCGCTGCCGCCGCCCGCCCCCGGCTACCTGGCGCCGCCCACCTGGCCCGTGGCGCTGGACTGGACGGAGGAGGAGCAGCGGGCGCTGGAGGCGGGGGTGCAGCGCTACCCGCCCGACCGCTTTGACATGGTGCAGCGCTATGTCAAGATAGCGGCCATGCTGCCGCGCAAGAGCGTGCGCGACGTGGCGCTGCGCGTGCGCTGGACCGTCAACCAGCAGCTGCTCAAGAAGCGCAAGCCTGGGGAGGCGCTGATGCCGATGGCGCCGGGCGCCAAGAAGGCCGCCGTGCCCGGCGGGATGCTGCCGCCCAAGGCGCCCACGCTGCCGCCCGTGCCCATGGTGCGCGCCCCCCCCCCTGCTGCCCCTTGCGCTTGCACCTGTGCTGCTGGCCCGGCAGCCTGCGCCCGGCAGCCGTGAGCAGCTGGGGCCAGGCCGGCGCCAGCGCCTCGCTGCCCATTGCAGCGCACCCTCACAGGCACCGCTTCATCGCCCACACCCCACCCGCCCCCTGCCTCCGCGCCCCGCCTCCCCCTCCCGCCCCTGCAGATGCCGGGCATGTCGGCGCTGCCGCCCGCCGCCGCCGCCATCCCGCCCGAGTCCCCCACCCACGCCGTGATTGGGGGGCCCATCGCGCAGCTGCTGGAAGCCAACTTCTCCATACTCAACGAGGTGGGCGCCTCTGCCGCAGGCGCTGGCGCGGCTGGTCCGCGGGAGGGTTGCGCAGCCGCAACTGG